GGGAGGGGAGGGGAGAAGCTGCAGCCGCCTGAGGCTCTTAACAGAGCGCTCAGGCGGCTGCAGTATTTAAAGGGCCGGCCCGCCGAGTCCAGTATCCATTGCCCTCTCTACCTAATATTCTTGAAAGAGAAAGCTTAGGACAGGGATGCATACAATACAAACACAATGGATGGAGCATATACTTTCACAACCTTTAAAATAATAATAACAATCATGTAAAACACATAAAGGATGGATTTTGGTATACTAAGATATCACCTATTGCACAAAATATGCATGGTCACTTTAAAAGCTTGTAGAGAAATCCACTGTTTTCATATAATCGGTACTGTCACTTTAAAGGTTGAGAACACAAACATATATTTACCATTTTAAACAATATAATCTGCATGGCCACCTTTTGAAAGTGTCCAACAATATTAACTTTTGTTTTACATGATTGTTATTATTATTTTAAAGGTTGTGAATTTATATTCACATTTGCCATTTGAAGAAATATAATCTTTATGATTTTTTTTTTGAGAATAAGAATATGTTAAAATCATATGAAGTTTATATTTGGATTCAATTTTATTCAAGAAAATGAATGTATATTTTATAAAATTATGTGTAGTACTCTTTGGTATTTCTGTTCCTTTTTGCATGGGAAACAACATATGGCCGCGGTGAGATCGAGAGCCAGGAAGTGAAGAGGATTTGGAACGCATGAATACGTTCCATTCACGATTGGAGACTGAAGACACATGGGAACCAGGAAGTAACTTAGAGTGGAACGCACCATGCGTTCCACTCGTAATCGAATTCAGAAACCCGGAAGTGACATCGGTCTACTCCACGTGGCCGGAAGGAGGAAGTACATGCAAATGAAGGAATGGAACGCATGAATGCTTTCCAAAACGGAATTACCCGCAAACTTTAATTTACACAAGTATTTATAATGGACATGGACTGGGTACAGGACTAGAGAGCCAACTGAGGAAGCCACAACAGGCAAAATGCGTATTGGCTTAATTGATATTTTATCTTTTCATTGTTTTATATTTTTTATGTAATATCACTTAATAAATTTAGTTTTTTATTATTCCACTAATTGGATCCTCTCCTATTTATTGGAAACACCTCTACTGGATATACCAACCAGCCACAGAAGGGCTAGGATCACCCTGGAATAGATCCTGGAGCCATCAATACCAGAGCCAGGTTCTATATTGGCTCTGATTTTGTGAGTGTTTCCTTGCACATATTTTTCTTAAAGTATTTATTGTTAAGCTGTCTGCACTATTTTGTGTACCTCTCTATCTCCACAGCATTATATTGAGAAGAGGGGAGAGAGAGAAAAGTATATGCTCCATCCATTGTGTTTGTATTGTATGTATCTTTTTGTGTTGGTATAGGGGATATCACACGGGTGTTTTTGAGCATTATTGTCACTCGCTGTGCCATTGGTATTTGTTCTAGGACAGGGATGCCACTGATTGGCTGAGGGCATCAGCTAAAGGTCTAAGCCAATCAGTAGTACCCTATTCACAAAACAGCTTGAGAAACATATGTATCTTTCTCAAGCCGTTTTGTGAATGGGAGCTTCAGCTGACGCTCTCCACCAATCAGCGACACCCCAGCACAGAGCACCATGGCCAGAGTGATTAGGTGCTGGATAATGGACTTCAGGATTAAAACATTTGTTAAAGTTTTAACCCCTAAAGATAAACTGGCGCTAAGGACCTCCTGGCACCATAACAACTTCGTAGTGCCCGGATTGTTACTTTAATATTATATTTCCCTATCCTGTGGATTTAACAAATGTTTATTTGTAAGTTATGAAAAATGGAATTCGATGTAAAAAGTGTGCTTTGGCTATGATTCCCCATTAAAGAACATATGGTGGAGGATTTTCTGTTACATCTTACTTGCCATAACAATTATTTTTTACTCTCCCCAGGCAACAAAGCTATCTCAAAACCTGTCGGCCTAGAAGAGCCGTTCTGGTTATTTAACTGCATAGGTAATTATAAACAACAACTTTATTTAAAGGGATGTCATGCTCACTCACCAAATCAGTAGGATTTATTTACACTGATGAATTCTATAACTGCCTGGTTAGGGATTCCCGTCTATGACCAGATATTTCCTTTGTAGAACCCCTAAGTGCACATTTTCTATACAAAAGGCAGGAAAATGGAAATTCTCAGCAAAACTACCACAAGACATCTGTATCTGCGAAATGTTAGCTAAGGGTTAATACTCTGTACTTGCTTGATGTGTGCATTCAGCACAAAAAAAAAAATAATAATAATAAAAATAATAATAATAATAATAAACTGCAAACGGGTGCAATAAAAAACAGTAAAAATTTGGCCTGGAGGGTTCTCTGTGGTCGTTTCATATTTGACGGTGTGTTAATATTAGATTTTCTGAAACACGAAGTCGGAAGCATTGGGATTATACAACCCAGCCCCCTATCTGCCTCCCCCAAATTCAATACAAGACCC